GATCGCAACCGCATCAATCGCATACTCGGCTTGGGTGGTTATGCCGATGTGAAGACAAACATACAAAGCATAATTGAGGAGGTGACCAGCAAACGTGAGGTTGCGAGCATTAAGGAAGAACCCTGCTCCTCATCATCCAGCACTGCGGGTAGCAAGCGCAAGTTGGGGCGTGAGGATGCACGTACAAAGAAAACGCGCAAAAACTCGTGGAATGATACCGATGATGATTCGCAAAATGAATCGGAAGATAGTGATTGCAAAATGTCCAACTCAGAGTCTGAGGAGTCAGATGCGGCAGCGCACTCGGACAGCTGTGAGTCCTCCGACTTTAATCCCTTCTTCAGCGGCTCGGACAGTGATAATGATCCGTGGGTGGCGCGCTCGAAGAAGAAGGCCAAGAAGAAGGCAAAACCGAAGGATACAACTGCCGGTAGTAACAACAACAACAACAGCGCCAATACAACAGTCACTACTGCTAGCGCCACAAACACTAACGGCGTAACAGCCGCTGCCAATGCGGTGGTGCCAAAACGCAAAGGACCAGTCTCCACACAAGATCGCATACAAGACCTGCTGCAGAAGAAACAAGAACTGAAGGGTACCGTTACGCAAATTGGTGTTAACGGCATCAAATTGAATTATGGTCCACCACCGAAGGACGCCATAGAGCGTGCTTGCAGCATGAAAGAGGAGCTGTTGCGTAAAATTGAAAGACTCGGCGAACGCCTGCCACCGAACACGCTCGATCAGCTGATTGACGAACTTGGCGGTCCCGACAATGTGGCCGAAATGACCGGTCGCAAAGGACGCGTCGTACAGTCCGATGACGGTTCTATACAATATGAGTCGCGTTCCGAACAGGATGTGCCATTAGAGACGCTCAATATCACCGAAAAGCAACGTTTTATGGATGGCGAAAAGGATGTGGCCATTATTTCAGAGGCGGCATCTAGCGGTATTTCGTTACAGAGCGATCGGCGCGTGCGCAATCAACGTCGACGTGTGCACATAACACTGGAGCTGCCGTGGTCCGCTGATCGCGCCATACAACAGTTCGGACGTACACATCGTTCCAATCAAGTAAATGCACCCGAGTACATATTTCTCATATCCGATTTGGCGGGTGAGCGACGTTTCGCCTCGACAGTGGCGAAGCGTTTAGAATCGCTCGGTGCGCTAACACATGGCGATCGTCGCGCCACCGAGACGCGCGACTTATCACAATTCAATATAGACAACAAATATGGACGCACCGCTCTGGAGACGGTGATGAAGACAATCATGGGCTATGAGTCGCCACTGGTGCCGCCGCCCAATGACTATAAGGGTGACTTCTTCAAAGACATTGCTGGCGCGCTAGTCGGTGTGGGTATTATAGTGAATAGTGAATCCAACCCGGGCGTCTTGAGTTTGGACAAAGAGTACAATAATATCTCGAAGTTCTTGAATCGCATACTTGGCATGCCGGTAGAGCTACAGAATCGACTTTTTAAATATTTCACCGACACGCTGAACGCCATCATCAATCAGGCGAAACGCGGTGGACGCTTCGATTTGGGCATTTTGGGTAGGTCAATGGAGTTTGCTAACAATTTTAAAATTATGGAAATTAAATTTCTCGATATTTTTTTTTTGCGTATTTTCACAGATTTGGGCGCCGCCGGCGAAAATGTGACGCGCGTCAAGCTTGTGCGCTTCATACGCAAACACGCCACCGGTAAAGCACCCGCCGAACTGCATACGGTACGTGTGGAACGTGGCATGATCTGGCAGGAAGCTATTGACAAGTGAGTAGTAGTAACGTATACCGGCCAACGCAGCAACGAGTCCACGGGCAACAGAGCTGCAAAGGATACAAAGCAACAATACATAACCTCAATATTTGTGCTGCCATTAATTGCATTTACTATTTACAGATATGCTGATTTGGTAAGCGAATTTGAGGGTTTCTATGTCTCGCATCAAGTGCGCAACGGCAAGCGTACCGCTATACTCGCGGTCGAAATTGAAACGCCACAGACCCCACAACAATCCAATAGCAAGAAAAAGGAGAAGGGTCTCAACAAGAAAGACATTATGTATCAAGTATATCGGCCCAACACGGGACTGCAAATACGCCACGAATCATTGGCGGAGTTGGAGAAGAAGTACAAGAAGGTGCCCAGCGAGGAGGCGGAACCACACTGGACGCAACAGTATGACGCATCGGTGAACACCTGTTCGCACGCTTACTGGAATGGCAATTGCCGCAATGTTAATTTGGGCAATGAATGCGAGGTGAGTGACCGAAAACAGTAGTATTAAGTAAGAGCACAGCACAACAAGTGAAACACATTTTGTTTGTGTTTTTTTTTTGAAAACTGCAAATTCATAAAAAACAATATTAATAAATCATTGTTGCTTTGTTGCTCACGAACGTTTCTCTCTTACAGGTTGGCTTACGCCAGCGTCTCTACTACGTTTTGGCCGGTTCCGTGCTCTCCGTTTGGACGCGCGTCGAGCAGGTGTTGGCCATGCGCAATGCAAACAACAAAATGCAAGTGATACGCATGAAGACCACCGAAGGTGAGAAGATTGTCGGCACGCTTATACCGAAGTCGTGCCACGAACTGCTGCTGCAAGATCTCAAGTCCGATGCAGAGCGCATTGAGGAGGTGAAAATCTAAGTTTTGCATAAAATTATAAGATTTTTAACATGACAATTGGAGCACAGTGAAAGCTGTGAGCAGAAGAGTGTAAAAAAACATAAATACGACGCAAAAAGCGCAAAAGGCTTAAGTCATGCAAGTGTGTAAAATCAGCAGCGACTGTTTGCACACAAAACAAAAATGGAAAAGGATTGATTGACATACAAATTTACGTTTACGTTCCCTTTACCTTTTAGTGCGTAGTGTTTAGATTGTAAATGTACGCTGTAGTGCGCCTGCGCAACAGCCACTTAGTTTTAAGTCATGAAACCAGCTGTCACACATACATATATGCAGCATAAAATATGTGTTTGGCGTGACTTGGCATTACTTCTACACTGTAAATGTTAATATATATATATATATACAAACCAATGCATAAATTTATTATATTATATGCGTGGTAAAAAAAAAAGATTTAATAAAAAAATTAAATATATATATGAAATCAATTTGCATATGCAACGGTGCATATCCAGCTATGCGCGTACAAAAGTAACACTTTGTACGCTACAAGTTGCTAATGTATACTACTACATATGTAAATGTGTATTTTTCGCGTGCACGTTGGCATCCTTACGAAGGATTCACATGCGCCAACTTCTTAGTTTGTAGTCTCGTATTTAAATAGTTACCTAATGTTATTTTGTATTAATACTATTAATATTATTCCTTATGTTAAAACATGGCAAATTCATTTCGTCCAACTGCCTCGCGGAAATGAATTTGCTAAAATGCCAAGTTTTTTGCAAAGAGAAATGATTCTATGATTCATATAAATGAAAACGCTTATCAATGGACTTTTTTGTTTTTGTAATATGTATTTAATTTTAAACTTAAACATTACAATTTACTATACATAAATACATACCACATACAATACATGCATACATATATCAGAAATTATTGCTAATAAAAAATAATAAAACAAATCATATAAATCAATAAATTCAGAGCATAATATGAGAACTATAGACACAGTGTTTGTATTGAACAGCAACGGCGGTGAATACCATTGGGCGGTACAAAAGTGTGACTTCAGACTTGAAAAAGTAGCGCATAGATTCTTTGCGGTTACCCAACTTGTCGGTTTTAAGTCGCGATATGTCGGCAATTTTTGGTCACTTATTGCCGAACTTAGTTAAGAGCTCCGAAAAAATCGGTTACTGTATACTTTATAATTTTATGTTCGTAAGTTATTCACACGATAATCCCAATCTAGGTAACGGAAATTGTCTCATTCTTGCGTCCGTCTCATTAAGTTGTCCTAGATCTCATTTAGCTCATCCTCGGCGACAAATCTTTCACTAATTTTTATTTTATTTTTTTATTTGTTTTACAAAAAAATCGTTCACTAATTTTTTTCTTTATGTTTTATTTTATTTTAATTTTCTTTTATTTAAATCTTTTTTATATAATTTTTTTTATATTAACTTTTTTATACATTAATTTTTTTATATATTAATTTTTTTTTTACGAAAATATCGTTCCCTAATTTTTTTTCTTTATGTTTTATTTTATTTTTATTAAAATTTTTTTATATATTTTTTTTGTTACAAAAAAATTGTTCACTAATTTTTTTCTTTATGTTTTATTTTATTTTTATTTAAACTTTTTTTTTATTTTAACTTTCTTTTATTTAAATTTTTTTTAATACAATTTTTTATTTTAATTTTTTTTTTGGTAAAATAATTTTTATATTATTTTTTTATTTGTTTCTTTTTGTTTTTTTTTTATTTTAATTTTAATTTTTTTGTTACAAAAAATATTCACTAATTTTTTTATATGTACATATACATATTTTTGTTCATATTTTTTTATATTTATTATTTATTTTAGTTTAATTTTTTTTTATATATTTATTTTTTTTTATATATTTATTTTTTTTTATATATTTATATTTTTTTGGTTTAATTTTTTTTTATATTAATTTTTTTTTAGTATAATTTATTTTATATATTTATTTTTTTTTAGGTTAATTTTTTTTTATGTATTTATTTTTTTTAGTTTAATTGTTTTTTAAATATTTATTTTTTTTTATACATTTATTTTTTTTAGTTTAATTTTTCTTTTATATATTTATTATTTTTTACAATAGTTTAATTTTTTTATATATTTATTTTTTTAGATTCATTTTTTTTTATATATATGTATTTTTTTGGTATTTTTCTTTTTTTATAATAATTATTATTTAAATTACAATATTAATTCAACATTGACATTTTTTGACGGTTATAAATGTAGTCGTACTGCCATCTGTCGGTAGAAATTGAAAAATAAAATTCAAAACCAGAGAACGTACGTACGTTCTCTGGATATACGTTCTCTGATTTTCATTTCAACTCAGCTGTTCTGCGAAAACAGCTGTTCAACGGCATCTATATATTTTTATTTATTTTTACGTAAAAAGTAGAAGTTATACAAAAATGAATCTTGCGCGAAGTTTGAAAACGAACTTTATAACTAATACCATAAAGTGTGGAAATATCAATGAAAGCTGCACGAAATTATTAACACAGTTGCGTAGAAAAAGTGTGCAAGCAGCTGCTGTATCAGGCGCAGTTGATGTTGACAAAATCGACGCTCCGCAAGCGTCGTCTGAGGAACGCACAACACATTTCGGTTTTCAAAAGGTGAAAGAAAGTGAGAAGGATCAGAAAGGTGAGCACCAAAACAATATTAGGCTGTAAAAGTTTTACAAATTTCCATATACAACTTTGCAGTGCACAAGGTATTTGAGGATGTGGCCAGTTCCTACGATCTAATGAATGACGTTATGTCCGCTGGCATACATCGCATATGGAAGGATGTGTTCATGGATCGTTTGGCGCCCATGCATGGCACACGTCTATTAGATATGGCAGGCGGCACGGGCGATATTGCTTTTCGTTATATACGTCAACTGGCCGCGAAAGAAAATAAACTGAAACGCCATAGCTATGTAACTATCTCTGACATAAATCAACATATGTTGGATGTGGGCAAAGAGCGTGCCAAACGTCAATTGCTAACCGAAGAACACCTGCCAGATATAAGCATCAATTGGCAACAAGCCGATGCGGAGCAATTACCATTCGAAAATGATGCTTTTAATGCATACACTATCGCATTTGGCATACGCAATTGTACGCATATTGATAAGGTGGGTTTTGGTTTTTATTGTTGCGATTTTGTATGCTATTTGCATGAACAGAAACGTATTTAAGGCATGCGGCAAATTGCGCTTTTGTTGTGACACCAAATAATGTATTGTGTAATTCTTAATTGTGTACTTATTTTGTAGGTGCTGCGTGAAGCCTACCGCGTCTTGGAACCAGGTGGACGATTTATGTGTTTGGAATTCAGCCATCTGACAAATGGTGTAATGCAGTGGATGTACGATCAATATTCATTTCAGGTCATACCGCCGATGGGACAAATTTTGGCCGGACAATGGCAACCATATCAATATTTGGTTGAGAGCATTAGGCAATTTCCGAAGCAAGAGGAGTTCAAAAAGATGATTGAGGACGCTGGCTTCGAGTTGGTGTATTACGAAAATTTGACCTTTGGCATTGTGAGCATACACTCAGGTTTTAAGCTATAAACTTTGAAGCTGTTATAAACATACATACACATTATTAAATAAATATTTAAGTTTAAATACATATTTAACTACAAAAACTTGACTTCTAAACTTTTTTTTTTAATTATATGACCAAATAAAAGTGATTTGTAAACTGAAATGTGCATTGATTTTTTATTGTGTTACAGCTAAGTCAACTTTTAATTTTTGACCGCTTAAGCAAGTTAAGCTTAGTCAAGTGGCGCGACCTTCTTGTTTCAACTTTCCCACGTACATACTCTATTTTATATAAATGCTAATAAAACTAAATCCAATTGTGGTTTGAATTACAAATTATCGGTGTACCTGTATACGAACACAAAAACTAATAAATGCAGTTTACGTTAGCATTTTAATGCAGGTTAATGCAAATTTCGCAATTTCTAAGCGTCAAAAATATTTAATAAAACTTTTTGTAATACTCATATATAAATATACAAAAAAAAAAGAAACATTCGAAAATGTGTATTTAAAATCAGTACACGTAGACTAATTGTTTATACGAGCGCTAATTTAATGCTTCTGCATAAACTTATAAAGTTTGAAGAAGTAATATTTATGGACGCACAACTATGAGTTGAGATACTTACATACATACTCACATACCACTTTTGAACAGGCGCAAATATGTCATGTACTTGAACAATAGAAAAAAATAAACTCCGTTAACTAAGCAATTTTTTATGACTTATTTTTTCAAAAGTAATATTTGAAAGCTCTCAATTTATAAAATTAACAGTAATATGTTGTTATTAATACAACAAAAACTGCCATAAAAATCTGGCTGAGGCTTAGGTGTATCCTACATTATGTTACCTTCTGTTAATATAATATATCGTGGAAGCAAAGGCTTTATAGTACCTTCAAAATAAAGGCACTGTGTAGGAGGCTACTACATGCTGCAGTAAAATTTATATTTTTGAAATAAGTATTTTCTTTAGTTTTCTACACCACACTCACTTAAATATTAGTCAGAAATGTGAAATCGTTAATTACCGCGTTCTACTGTGAAATAATTTTCATTTATTTACAATTCATGTTACTCATACGCCATGCATTGCAGACACAGTGTGACACTACAATATTTGTCTAAATTTAGTAAAGTATTATACATATATGCGCTTTTGTATACTATGTGTGTGTTTGTATGCATTTGATTCGTGCTTAAAATTACGAATGCCGCAAGCATGTACATATGTATGATATAATTTCTTGTAGCACACAACCAAATAAAGGTGAAATTTTAGCTGCATATCATAGCTTTTATGGGCGCTGTCGTAATTTTTGACATGTATGTGCGAGCACTTGTCACACTAAAATAAAAACAAAGCCACATACACAAACAAAACGAAAAGAAAGAAATTAAGCACATACCAAACGCCAAAAACCAAATTTGTACAAGCAACAATAACAATTTGGAAATGTTGATAAGGTCGCAAATATATAGACATATTATTTTCAAATAAGCGTTAGTATTTGATGCAAAAGTTATATAATTGCAACGTATGCTTTTTTGGTGGGCTTAATATGCGTCATTGGTTTTTAAATAAATTATTATGAGGCCGTTATTTTAAATTAGCGTTGCCATTTTTTGAAATATGGTATAAATATATTATATTATAGCTATAATAAGCCATTTAAATTCATCTTTTATACTTATTAATATAAATATATATAATTTTTAGTAGTCACGTTTTGTTAAAAACTAACTTTATTATTAATATAATGTTATTAATTAGTTTTAATATTAATATCTTTAAAACCTACAAAATATTTAACAAATATATTAATTCTGTTTTGCTTCATATAGAAATTCTAACTTTTTAACATTAACATCAGCATCTAACGCACCCTGTGCTTTGCGCAGCAGCCACGGTATTGTGACTGTCAGCTGCTTTAGTATTTTTATACTCTCGCAACCTGTTGCTACAGAGTATAATAGTTTTGTTCACCTAACGGTTGTTTGTATCACCTAAAACTAATCGAGTTAGATATAGGGTTATATATATATAAATGATCAGGATGAAGAGACGAGTTTAAATCCGGGTGACTGTCTGTCCGTCCGTCCGTCTGTCCGTCCGTCTGTCCGTCCGTCCGTGCAAGCTCTAACTTGAGTAAAAATTGAGATATCTTTATGAAACTTGGTAGACATGTTTCATGGTACCGTGAGACGGTTGGTATTGCAGATGGGCGTAATCGGACCACTGCCACGCCCACAAAACGCCATTAATCAAAAACAAATAACTTGCCATAACTAAGCTCCGCAATAAGATACAAGACTGTTATTTGGTACACAGGATCACATTAGGGAGGGGCATCTGCAGTTAAAATTTTTTTTTTTAAAGTGGGCGTGGTCCCGCCTCTAATAGGTTTAATGTGCATATCTCCTAAACCGCTAATGCTATAATAACAAAATTCACTGGAAGCAAATGTTTTTAGCACTTCTATTGACGGTGTGAAAATAGTTGAAATCGGGTGGCAACTCCGCCCACTCCCCATATAACGGTACTGTTAAAAACTACTAAAAGCGCGATAAATCAAGCACTAAACACGCCAGAGACATTAAATTTTATCTCTGAGATGGTATAAGATGACTTTATAGGAACCGCGTTCAAAATTAGACAGTGGGCGTGGCACAGCCCACTTTTAGGTGAAAACCCATATCTTGAGATCTGCTTAACCGATTTCAACCAAATTCGGTGCATAACGTTCTTTTCATGTTTCTATGTCATAGTGCGAAAATGGGCGAAATCGGACTACAACCACGCTTACTTCCCATGTAACACCATTTTCAATTCCATCTGATTCTTTCACATTCCACTATGCAAATCAGGTAAAAATGATTATATCGGGGTAAAACTTTGCGTGAATAATGCAATTAAAGTATGCCACCTTGCGGCCAAAAATTGTCTAAATCAAACCCAAAACTGTTCAAACCCCTAAGTACTAAATATGTGGACCCCAGTGCCTATAGTTGACCTTCTACCGAAAATATCAGTCAATCCACAAAGAAATCTCAAACGAGTATACCATTTGACCTTGCGAGAGTATAAAATGTTCGGTTACATCCGAACTTAGCCCTTCCTTACTTGTTTTAGTATCCGTTCTTTTTAAATTGATAAGTGAATTTTTGTGCGATCTATCAAGTATTTTTGTGTTGAAATGTGTATGTGTGTTAGTGTTTGTCGTAGTGAATTCAAAAAGTGTAAATTTAAAGTGAAAGTGCGTTGCAAAATGTAGCGCAAAGAGCAGCTACTGCCGACGATGCTCTCGAGAGCAAAAGCGCTTTTAAACAGCAAGCGTAGGATTCTTGTATGTGCATTCAGTGTTTATTAGTTATATTTAGCATTAAAGTTTATCAATTTATTGGAAAATATTCTACCGGCGTTACATTAAGTACAAGAAGCTTTATGCACATATTTGCGCAGCCAACAAATATTTGAGGTTATTTGTAAATTATATAGTGTGTGCAGTTTTTTAGAAGCGTTAAATTGAAAATTGGCTTAGTTTTTTTTAGATTGATTTTTGGCTAATAAAATCGTGTTTCGTTAATGTGGGTGAAATAATAGTTAATATATTTTTCTAAGTAAGCGTAATAGTAAACATTTTACCTACTTATGGTAAAAAAAAATAAAAAATAAAATATTTTAGATTTTCGCTAATTTTAATTCAAAACCTAAATTTTTAAAAATATTTTTTGAAATTATTTCTCATGCAGTAAATTTAATAAGGTAAAAGCAATATGTAATAAATTTATTAAGGAAAAAAATTGTGATAAATTTTCATAAAAATCGTGATCTTTCATGAAAAAATGATTTAAAACAATAAATTGTTAAGAAATCAAAAAGGAAATTACAATTTCTGCTTTTACAAGCTAATCCTTATCTAAATTATAAGTATAAAGCAAAGCGCAATTTATTAATTTTCAATAAAAATAAAATTGAATAAAATAGAAAACTCAGCCTGAATACTCTACTAATATAAAAAAGTACAATAATTTTACTGTTTTTCATAAAAATTTTATATAATAATATTTCATATGAGAATTACGCTTTTAATTTACATTTACCGGCAACTCCCAGCAAACCGAATTTGCAAAAAATGCTAACACTTTAAAATACAATTATAATGCTAAATTATTGAGGGTTGTAGGAATTTTAAGCTTTCACTGCCGTCACACAAATATTCACCTCAGCACTATTAACCGCGCTCTTCTGCAACGTACCGCTCAAACTGCATAATTACAAAAATCAAATTTCGTCAAATCAAAGTGCGTAGATTTTACATTGAATAAACATCGATTTAGTGATAACTAACCAAATTTGTTATTGCTGTCTACTATATTGGTGGTGCGCTTAACACTTATTGCTTTTATTGCTGCGGTTAGTTTTTGGGCGTAGCTAAGCGTGCGCGCACGCGTACTGCTCAGTATGCCGACACTTCCGCCGTGCAATGTGCATAGAATTTTAAACCACGCCGCTAATGTACGCTGGTAGTTGCAGGCGTTGTTTGCTTAGGCTTTTGTGTCTTCTGGTATTTAGTTTTTG